GAGAGAGAGAGAGAGAGAGAGAGAGAGAGAGAGTGTCTGTACCTCTAGTGTCTATGCAGCACAGAACCTAAGTATTCTGCCTACCAAAGTACAATACATTTTGAGAGACAAAGACTCACAAAAAAGAATCCTTCCCCCTTCGAAATGCATTTACACACACCTCTGAACATCTGGAACCACCCTACATGCATTTTGCGCAACATGTCACAATATTTTATTATGTTCTCATTGGAGGAAAGTGTTATAGGTATTGCTCAATGGTTGCTGTTGAAACAAATTTAAAAGTTTACCTGCTTCAAAGACACTCATATCCTCTTCCATGCCCTTCTTTGAGCGATCATCTTCTTCAGCAGCATCGTCATCCGGCAGGACTTCTCCACGTTCAAATTTTTCCTTAATGCTCTTAGCTTTCTCGGAACGGACACCAACTTCTTTCTTTGTTGTCATATTTTCACTATCCTTTACAGCTTGTTCATACATTTCCTTCATCTTCCCTTGTTTACCCTATAATTAAGACATATTTTATTATTTAACACTAATAAACAGATCATATAACTGATCATTCATAACTAAAACAATAAAGCTGAAAACTTCAAGAAATATTTTAATTTTAAAAAATGTAAATAAAATATATGTCCACTATTCTGTAAAACTATTATAAAGACTTAACTGAAAAGTCAGGCAGTTTGGCAACAAAGCTGCTGATAATGATTCACCCTCTTGCTGGCATAGTTTCATTCAATTATATATTGCAGGCAGGTACAACTTCAAAGAGGTTGTGATCGACTTTTTAGTGTCAAAACTGCCAGTGATCTACCACCCCCTCCTATGGTCATACTTCCCTTTAAGCAAAAATACTGGTAAAAATAATATGACACATGATGTTTGTTGTAAAAGCAACATACGTTGAAAGTACAGACTACTTTAACATGCATTTTCCCTTCAAAATCTGAATATAATCATATTATACTACAATAGAAATTATGTGTTTTTCACATATAATTTCCTTATAGGCCTATGAGATCGACCAAAAATCGTCCCGCGATCGATGCGTTGGACATGCCTGATATATTGGAGCACAGCTGCTTCAGACACAAGTGAGTCAAAATTTGAAGCAGGTGGGATGATATCCCTCAGGGTGTGAGAGAAGTAGTAAAGTATACTTAATACGGAATAACACTTTACAAGCTTGACAATATCCTATTTTTAACAAATTTCTGTTTCTATATTCTGTTAGGCATGTACTGTAGATGACCATCATCCCATTGAATGCCGTGGCGCACAGAAGTCAAGAAACTCTGCATCATTCTCCGAAGTGTTTCTTCTAAAATACGGGTGGCTTCCTTCTAAGACTTTTGCTTTCAGCTCATCTCAGTCTACTGGCCAACTACCGAACAGTTTACGGTTTAGGTACCCAGGGAAAATGTCAGGAGCAGTTAGATCTGGTGAAGAAGAGGGCCATGAAACATCACTAAAATGATAAATCATCCACTAGGGAAACAAACAGCTAATTCTCGGCAAGACCACAGATTTTCATTCAATATTCTTTGCACAAGAAATATATCAATCCTACAAGTGTAATGATATGATGAAACTGTCATGGTTTGCCCACCTTCACCTTCAAAGAAATAGGGTCCTATGATTGCAGTAGATGGCATCACACACCAGACAGTAATACAGGGGATATGCCCTGTCCCCTCTTTTTGCACTCCTTCTCATTTCTGTTGGTTGCCTTATATGCAAAACTGCACTGAGTGGATTGACTTATCTCTGCCTTGGCTTTCAGAGCAGCAACACTGGAGTCAGATGGGGTGGAGGGTTGAGGTAGCTTTCTTTGTCCTAGTATGTAAGCACTGCTTTCTAAATTCTGTTTAGTTGGCAGATTGGTGCCAGGACAGCACAGTCTGTACAGCAACTGGCTATGGGCTGGACAACTGAGAGGTAGGAGTTCAGGTTCCGGTATAGTCCAAAATTTTCTCTTCTCCATATCATCTAGACCGGCTCTGGGGCCCACCCATCCTCCTATCAAATGGGTACTAGGGGTCCTCTTCACAGAGATAAAGCAGGTGGAGCATGAAGCTGACCACTCACCTCCAACTAGAGCTGAGGTAAAAAAAAAATGTGGATCTATACATTCACTCCCCCACACACCTACACAGTGCAGTGTTTATTTAGTTAAGCAGAGGGACAGCTTTACCCTTACTAGGTTTTGTTGCAGCTGTTTCCACTGATTCATTTGTGTTACTCCTTCAATTGTGATGATCCAAAGGTGTGATCACACATGTAAGGGAGGTGGATAGCGGAAGAGGGCAGAGGTTCTCCACTTCCCCCAAGTAAAGGAACACTGTGACAAGGCCTTAACATTGTATTTCCCTTACTCGTAAGAGAAAGGTGCCATAGTGATGTAGCATCAAGTAGAATACATACCAAGAAGAGTCTTGAACGAATATTCTGAATCTCCTGTTTCCTCTCCTGTCGCTGCTCCTCCCGCCATGCAGCCTGACCACTCTCCCATCTGTGAACATTACCCTTAACATTACTAAACTTCCAAAAGAAATACCAAATAATCCACCAAGAAAATAAAATATTTTAGCATCTTCTTCAGTAAGTATAAGGAAGCATACGGGATACTATAATAGGCATCTGTAACAACTATTAGCAGTAGTGACTGTCTAAATGCAAAGTTCTGAGATGTAAAAACAATTGGAGGCAATTACCATTTCACTGTCAATGAAGAAATATATTAGCTTGTACTGCAACATCACAACAGTATTCAGTTCTAGCAATTATAATTTGTTTATTTATGGTTTACTCAACATTATCAGTAGGTCAGAACATTCGGCATCAAGTGATAGGATGATTACTTAATAGGGAATCAGAAAAGATGAGGAGAGCAGCAGCTGTGATCTAATTTGAGGTACTGGTTTCACATTTACATCAAGGGACACCGCAAATCGGTCAAAATCATCATTTAGGACAGCTAATTTTTGGATCACCGTCAGAATCTTGGATCTCCTGAATAGAAAGGAGTGCAATCCACCTGGCCACAACATTAAATTACAGTCATCTTCTTTGTCATCTGTGCCATCTGTGTCTTTATCATTTTGTTTTTGGTGGTCAGGGTAATATAGTAGTGGCGGCGGTGGCGGTGGTAGTAGTAGTAGTAGTAGTAGTAGTAGTAGTAGTAGTAGTAGTAGTAGTAGTAGAATAAATATCAGTATCAGCAGTAATATCCTTTCCAGTGCTACCACCTAATTAGCTTCCATACTACAGATAAACTCTGATAAATTGATCTATTTATTATTTCTTATAGTCAAATTCAATTTGACTGGAAAACCATTTCTTGCAGTTTTTGTTTGTTGTTATTTATTTACTTTTTGTGCAATTGCACAAAAAAAAACATTCATGAGAATTTTGTCATGTACCTGGCTAACCATTTCTATTTTTAAGGCTGAAAGGAATACAAAAAAAAAAAACTCCGTGGTTTTAGTCTGCAAGCGAACTATACTGACTGAACGACTGCTGCTTGTCGGCGAAGTTACAAATACAAAATCTATCATGTCTCACAGTTTGAGGAGTAGGGGAACATGACCAAATACAGAAATACATAAGCACCACCCATGAAGCACTGCTTTATAATACAGCACTAACCGACACTTGATATCCTCCATCTTACTGAAGCTGACAGGTCGTTCACGTTGTTTCCTATTGGAGCGAATCAGCTCTCTGTCTGCTTCCCCTTCCTCTCCCTCAACCTCTTCCTCTTCATCACTAGAGGTTGAACTTTCTTCATATGGAATTCCATTAAGAGAGTCATCTGTTACTCCAATATCCATTCCCTTAGCTTGGAACCTATAAACAATATTTTTGAACTTTTGGATTATGCGCAAATGATGGTGGGATGAACAGGTTGTGTTAGCACATGAACAGATCTAACTTTTCTTTGGTTACTATGCATGTGGACGTAGGGCTGACAACCTTGCTTGGGTGAGTGAGTGAGTGAGTGAGTGAGTGAGTGGGTGCGTGAGTGAGTGAGTGAGTGAGTGAGTGAGTAAGAGGCTGGAGTATAGCGGTAAGCTGTAGAAGACCAGTAGGCAAGCAGTAAGCTTGAGGTGTACAAAAGAGAACAAGAAGTCAGCTTGTGAAGATTTAATGTGTGATTTGAAGACTTTATGTGTGCTGTAGCACAGTGATACTGGGAGCGTGTGTTATAAATCCATGAAGGCTAGTGTAGATAGACTGAAGAGAGCAGCATGGAGTGCTTTGTAGACTGTAAATCGACGGTAGTGTAATAATTAATTGTAGTTACGACTTGTAGGTGTTTAATAAATCCAATTACAAAAACCAAAACCCCATTTTTAGTCACTGATACAAGTGGCTTGTTGTGCTGTGTCTAACCTTCTTATGTATTTTTTCACTTATAAAATAAATAAGTCATTTATATTAGTGTATTTCTGTAAAAATGGTTCTGTAAAGATACACTACTCATGAAATGATTTGCATAAATTTGTAATTTGGAATTTTGAATGCTTGGAAGAACTGAGAAAAATAATATAAACTCCTCACTGCTCACTCCACCCACATACGTCTTGGTCTTCCTAGAGGTCTCTTTCCTTCTGCCTTTCCCACCAATATCCTATATGCATTCCTCTTCAGCCCCACTGGTGCTCCATGCCCTGCCCATCTCATCTTCCTTGACTTGATCATTCTAATTATATTTGGTGAAAAGTACAGTCCACTTCTAATTACAGTAATATAAAATACAATTTGAGTGAATACACCCTGAACTAGTATATAAGAATTACAACTGATACTCGTATAGTGATTAGTAGATATTTTTCAATTGAGGTCAACTGCAAGAGGAAAATCATAACTTGCAAAGCAGCAAGAAACAGAAACCCCACCTTCTATGTTACGTCCTCTCATCTCAATGAACATAGCCACACAAGTTTACAGGACTGTCAGAGAGGGTGTGACAGATAATGAGTAAGTGAGTGAGTGGATGTCTTACTTACCTAGCCAGCTTGCTGAGAATACTGGGAGACCGCTTCACACCGACAGAGCTTGGTGACCGCTCCAATTCAGAACCACCTGTTGTCTCAGATTTCTCAAACACCTGGTATCGAGATTTTACATTGAGAGTACTCAATTCTTCCAATCCCAGATCAGGCTTGTCTGACGCTGAAGGTAAAGAAAAATGTTAGTAATTAATTTTGAAACAGATTACTACTTACAAACATTGTAATAGTGCTTTTAACTGAAAGTGTATCTTCAAAAACTGTTTTATGCAGATTACATCACACACTACTACATAAACATGATAACTGTCAACTGACTACACAGTAGTACAATGGCCCTATTGTTTCTTTATCAAGTTCTGCAACTCCTGTCCTAAACTCTTTCACTCCTATTGCTTAAAGTAGCACCCTGACTGAATAACATTTTCAGAATACATGATTTCTGCTTAGGATTCTATTAAGAAATCTCATTTTTTAATATCACAAACATTTTACTATTGTAAAAATGTTTCTTAGTATAAATTTCAAGTTTGTTGTCTAACATGTTTCAGAATTAAGTTCAAAGGCCTCCGGCCAAAATTTACAAAACCATTAAGAATATAATTTGGTGCAGAATATGTGTACAGTCAATTTCCAGTTTGCTAAGATCAGAGTTAGAGCATTTCAAAAGTTCAGTCCTGATTTTTTGTACATCTGTGTGGCTACTTGATGTCACAGGATGGAGCTTGTACTGTATTCACTTATGACTCATATTACTCCCAAAAGTAAAGCAGTAGAAACTGTGAAACAGTCATTCTGTGTATGACTTTTGTGATGGAAATGCTACAGCTGGATTGAGGGCATATCATTCATATACATATTGGAGGCATCCCAGCAGACCTGTGTTTGTGACAGTATGGAAACAGTTGCATTCATGCAACCAGCATACATTGGCAGGCACAAAGTGCAAAGTGTCAGATCGCATATATGCTAATCCTTCAACCAGTACTCATCAGGCTGCATAAGATACAGGCCCTCTCAGGGCACTACTGCATACACTGCATGAGGTAATGTATCCTTTTCATGTACACATTCTACATAGGCTACAGCAAGGGGACAATGCTCTTCCTCCTCCAGTGCTATCAGTGGCTTCCACAGCAAAACTGTACATGAAACTGATGTTCTGTGCCATGTACTCTGGATTGAGGAAGGAAGATCCACAGTCTCGACAACCTGCATAAATAGCAGCCGGAATATCCTCATGATACTCAATGCAACTATTTCAACAACCTGGACCCAACTCATAGGTGATTATTTAACTGGATCATACATGATATCAAAGTATCTTGGGGGTTGCAATGCACTGATTTTCCCTTCTGCTGGATGATGTACCCCTTAATGTTCAGGAGGGTATGTGGTTTCAGCGTAACAGCCCCCCCCCAAATAAAACATTTTAAACCAAGCATGCAACAGGTTGAACCATTTCCTGGACACAAGGTTCAGCATGGGAGTTTGATCATATGCCTCCATGTTCCTCTGATCTTAGCTCCAGCTGATTTTTTCCTATACGGATGCATCGAACAAGATGTTTATGCTATGCAAGCCCAAAATCATTGGCATTGGTAGCTACAGCACATATTAGGGGCTAACCTAGATAACTGGTTCTGATCAGGATGTTACATGTGAATAACCAAGTTAATACATGAATGGAAAATTATTTAATTTTCTTTTAAAAGTGGTGAGATGTCACAACATGGCAAGGATGATGAATAAACAATAGTTTACACAATACAAGCTGGAAGGTCAAGGGATCGAATTCCGATCAGGTCATTGGATTTTTTCAATTTACCTAATCCTTCCAGCCGCACTACGGCCCTGGGGTCAACTTGGCCTCTAACAGAAATGAGTACCAGGAATATCCTTGGAATGTTCTTGGGGTAAAGGGGCAGAGAGCGCATAGGGCTGACAATCTTACTGCCATCTATGAGCCGACTGTCTAGAAAATGTGGGAACGTCAACATCTCACAACTCTGTGGGCTTCCATGGTCTGTTATAGGGATACCTTTACTTTTATTTTTTTACTTTTTTACTCATATCTACACTTTCAGCTCAAAATTATCTATCCAACATGGTCCTAAAATTTGGCCATAAGATTTCAAACTACCCTGTATTGTAAGGTGGATGGACTTAGTGCTGCTAGGTAACTGACCATTAAACACCTCGCGACTGAATACACACAAGGCAACAATAGGAGTAAGGCGTTTTTTTATGCTGTTGGTGCCGTGACTGTTGCTATGCAATTGCTCGGTAAACACGTTCCAACAATATAGGCTGTTTTCTGTGAATGGTCGGTGCAAAGGCTACATAACAAGATTCCAGGAATAACCAAGGTAGTATGTTTCCTGTATTTGAGCGTGTGTTTAAGTTATTAAGTGACAGTGATAAAGTGGAGAGCCCAGGAGGGTTCATTAGTTGAGAGCACAAGGACAAGAATGGAGTGTGAATTGCGAAGATTGAGAGTGAATTGGAACCAGGATTATAGGAGAGGAGGATTGAGCATGTGATTTGAAGCCTTTATGTGTGCTATAGTGAAATGGTATTGGGAATGTGTGATTTTGGGAGACTGTTATAGTTCCCATGTTATAAATGCATGAAGACTACCACAGATAGACTGAAGATATCAGTGTGTAGTGGTTGTAAACTGCATAACTCAGTAACAGTGTTATAATTAATTATAGTTATGACCTGTAGGTTGTTAATAAAACCAATTACTAATCCAAACCCACGTCTCAGTCACCTAAACACTTTACAGTATATTTTTTAAGATATCTGTACATGAAATTAAAAATAAGTTCAACTGTACTGAAGTTATTTCATACAAACAGATAAGAAATAAAAACAATCTTCTTTAGAATTCATTTTCATGAACTAACTTCAGGTTTACTGTTGACAAACAAATACATTAAACAAGACTTTGATGACAGAGCATAATGCATAATACAACACGGTAGGAGGATATGAGTAACCTATAGGTCACCTCAGCCACCCCGTGAAGTTTACTGGATCACCAAAGCCTTGAGACTGAAACATTAGGAAGCTTCACATATCATTCCACACAACCTTTACAGGCAGCAATACAATTCACCAAACACAAACTTGTTAGCATACCATTTGTTATGCATGTATGAAACAAGGCAAACAGTTACACATGGAGTTTGCACTGTATAAATCTGGAGCTAAGGCTGGGAGGAAATCTTCAACAGTTTCCAGTAATATTGCAATAGCTACACTACTCCGCCAGCTAATCAGCGAGAACTAAATACTCTTTATTATGTCATTTTTTAATTAAGAAATTATTTACTTCGGTAATGCAAGCACTCTCAGTATGAACAATATCTGAATAAATTCAATCTGATATTATGGATTCAAAAGTACTGAAACAATCCCGATAGAAAAGGAGATAATTCAGAGGTCACATCTCTGTCTCAGTGCTGCTCAGAATATGCAGCATCAAATGACAGGATGGTTTAACAAATAAGTAATTGGAAAAGGCATGAAGGAGTCAATCATGTCTTCAGGTATAATCCTAGCATCTGCCTGGAGGGACTGAGGGAAACCATGAATGAACCTCAGACAAGAAAGCTGGTGTTCCACCACCAAATAGTCTGAACCAAGCATAGTCAAAAAAAAAAAAAAAGTCCAAAGCTAAACCAACCTGCTAGGAGCTTATTGAATCTTTGAATGACTTCATTTGCTTTGTGCAGTAGCACTATACCTATCCAAGTCCAATAGAATCACAATGGTTAGCAACATCAATTGCAATCAATGTCAACAAAATGTCTCTCTTTCTGCCCCACTATACATGACACAGAAATTACTTGAATTCTTTTTCAATACAATTATTTATAAAAACGTTTTACTGAAAATAGAGCCGATATAGTACACTTCGTACACTTTGAAAAAGTGGCTACTGTTATGAACTGTAGTTGTGATGAACAACATTCCCATTCTTGTCTCAATTCTCAAATTTTTGCCAAATTCTCATCTTGATCTCACTTTGAACTATAACAATCATTATCAAACGTACCTACTTTCAGAGTCCCAAGTATTGTAAAATAAAAAAGCCGATCATTTTGTTAACCCTGTAACTAAATTTTTACTGGTCCTGAAATGATACACAAACTGCATGAGGAACACATAATCAACTCAATCAAATAACAGAATTATGGAAATACTTATACAGGATACTGAAATTCGGAAGAGAATCCCTGAAACTTTTAAAATGTTACAGAAAAAGCTGTAATACATTTGGTTAGTATAAAACACACTGGTATCCCAGACGTATGGAGAACTGCTCTGTGAAAAACAAATTGCAGTTTTTTAGTAGGTACACCATGCAGACATTGAAGAGGACATTGGTGCCTACCTCTTACTACTTCAGGAGGTAATTCAATTGGTTGATTTTCACGGATGATCAGTTCTGGTTTTCGTAGCCGAGCTATAATGTACAAAAATATAAGAAACCTAGTTTCACTGCATACCATACTTTATAGTCTTATAGAATGTAAATACACATTTCAATATTCAAAACTCTTAAAATTTCTCAAGAAATGTAATTTTAACATGCTGCAACAGACTGCTGAAGCAACTACATAAAGATTTAAAGGTTTTTATATTTTAGTCCATAGAAATTATATCAGTTTTGCTGAAGGACTAGGGAAATATGAGAAAATTCAATTTTTTTTTAACATGGATCAACTATACAATGTCTCAGTATGCTCATAGCAGGGACTTGAAACAAAAATGGAACCAACAAATAAGTAACAGATTGAACAACAAATCATGAACTTATTGAGACTGGTTAAATCTAAATATCACAAAATCTAATGGGTTATACATTAACTTACGCAGCTCAGCATCCTCATCCACGACAGCTTTGGGCTTGAAAAGTTCCCGAAAATGAGGTTTGCAGTATACCTGGCCCTCATGGCTGCTGTAGATATCAACACTGTAATATGAAATAAACATAAAATATACTCCAATACAAAAATTCAGAAAGAATCTCACCATAAATTTACTTTTAACCACAAAATTTCAACCTACATGTGTAAGTACACCTAGATCAGCAAAAAGCTTAAGTAATAAGAACATGAAAGGAAAAAAAAAAAATTAGATGACAATCAAAGTATATTTAAAAGATTTTAAATGCTTCTAAAAACATACAATAAGAAAATAAGAAAATAAAAACATAAACGAATGTACTGAAACTCCCATTTATGATTTCTTTTGAGACGTATATGAACGCTTGAGTGGAAAAAAAAAATCTTGAATGCAGGAAATTTAACTTCGATATTATTAACTCAGAGGGGGCACGTGGTAGCGTAGTGGCTGAGAGGCTATGCTACAAGCCAGAAGGTTGCGGGTTCAAGTCCTGATGAGGTCACTGGATTTTTTTCAGTTGACATAATCCTTCCAGCCACACTAGGCCCTGGGGTTTACTCAGCCTCTAACAGAAATGAGTACAAGGAATTAATTAAATAATTTTCCTGGGGAGTAAAGCGCGGCTGGCGCGTAAGGCTGACAACCTTACCGCCATCTTTGAGCTGATTGCCTAGATAGTGTGGGACCGTCAATGTCTCACAACCCTATGGGCCTTCACGGCCTGGTACAGGGACAGCTTTACTTTTTTTATTATTAACTCAGGAGCACTGAAATTAAATCAAGAAACATTAAATGAGGGCTCCACTGTAAATAGCTTAATGTGTAACTGAGTGAAAGAATAAACAAATGAATCATCAAATGGACCAAGTGGTCAAAAAATTGTTTCTCCAAGATAATAAACACTATCAAATGAATGTCACTTGTAATGTTAATAAAAACAATTCTTCCTGTTCCATATATACAGTCAGATAGTTAAATTTAAAAACATGAAGCAGTAATCAGAGTAAATAATTATTTCAAAGATTTTTAACTGTAGTTTAAAGCACATATTAATCCCATCAGTAAATAAGCAAACTAACATATAACTTAATTCTTTGAGCGAATGAATGTTTGTTATACCGACTGAACTAACCTGGCTCCTGTTTCTTAGGCAAACAGAAATCATATTTCAAGGACTTATCAACAAATATTTATACATATATATTTAAATATTTCATGGCCATTATGAACACACTCACGTGAGCTGCTTGTTACACTCCTTACAGCGAAAGCAGTTTTTGTGCCAAACTGCACGCTCAGCCTTCACTTGCTCCATCTGGAAAACTTGCTTCCCACATGACTTGCAATTGCTTGTCTGTTCTGGGGCCGATTCTGCAGTCTGCAAAATACATAACTCACAATACTATCTATTTCAAGGCAAAGGAAATATTGACACCACTTCTCTACATTTCTGCTTCTTCATATTATCACACATCATCTTACATAAAGGCAAAAAATGCATAAATGAATGTTAATATATATAAAATTCACGTGTGTTTCTATTTAATTCAATTCAATTTATATCAAATTCAAAAATACAGATCCAGGCTGGGAAACAACCATTGGATATAGAAAGAGTCACAGATCAAAAAACAAACATTACATTCCCACAGGAACAAGTCAAGGCATTCATAATATAAAACAAATAAAAAAAGAACATATCAGCCATATATACAACAAAACTCCCCCGGTATAGAACTCTCAAAGGTTTCAGGCATCAGTACAAGCTCTTTTTTCATTTCATTACTCATCTATCTATTCTGAATGTATTTATATCAAAGTACGAAATTCTGCTCAATGATAACCCTATTTAAACATTACACTCAATGATCCAATATATCTTTGCGTGATTACAGGTCATTTCATCCTACTTGACAAGTTTCATGGTTTAAGTATTTACTGTTGTGATGGAATATAACCATTTGCTAGGCAAAGCTTCAGTAAACACAGCCTGCTCTGAACAGTCAAGATGTCACTGATGTAAACAGAATTCAATTTCATTACCTGATTAAACTGCTTCTGAACTTTGGCAGCATCAACAGAACGGACATGGAGAACAGTCTTCTTGCTCAGCTGGTCAAATTTCGAGAAACTGGATTTCTATAATGATGAGAAATTGTGTAAAATGAGTTATCACTGCTAACAATTAGAAAAAATTAAGGTGGGAAAAGAAAAGACTAATTCTCATACCACGAAGTAGGTTACAAATTTAACACACACTTGCACACTAATTACTTCCATGACCTGGCATGTTAGCACATATAATCTCATGTATATGAGACCTACAATTAAACACAATGTTAACAAGCAGTTTTTTATTTAGATAAAATTCTTATGTTAGTCAGTACCTTTATGTATCATGTGGCACTCAACGGCACTCAAAATATTTCTGAAAATGACATTTCCAGTGTTTAAATACACAACTCTACAAGTGGTTAAACAATGAAGGAAGCATTACCATAAGAATAGCTATCTCAATGAGGTCACTGGATTTTTCAATTTGACCTGATCCTTCCAGCCACACTATGACCTTGAGGTTGACTCAGCCTCTAACAGAAATGCGTACCAGGAATTTTCCTGGAGGATAAATGGGCAGCCAGCACATGAGGCTGACAACCTTACCGCCATCTATGAGTCAACTGTCTAGAAGATGTGGGAGCCTCGATGTCTGAGAACCCTATAGGCCTCGATTGCCTGTTACAGGGATAACTTTACCTTCTTACCTTTTACCAGTGCCATCTGATTCAAAAATAATATATAACTGGATAGCAAATCATGTAGCTGACCACTGTGCCCAAGACTAGATATGTTTCTTTCAAAAAAGCACAATTATTTCCCTAAGCCCTGGTATTCAAGCACTGGATTTGATCACACCCTATGTAGCCCCTGCAGGCAATGTAAATTACAGGATACATCTCAAGACAATGTGAATATATTCTACTACTCAGGTTCCATCAAATGTAAAACTATACATATGAATTTAAAGCTTCAAGTTACTTGTTCACATTACATAAGTATGCCAAACACATATATTCAGATTTTAACCTTTAAATGCCGGACTTCTGAAATAGTGGTAAGCTTGAGCTGGCCAGAGTTTATTTAAATGCCCGCTGCTGGTGCGCGTTTAAATGCCCGTTGTTACTCTGTGTTTATATGTCCATTTCTGTTAGTACGCCTAAACAATTTTAAGCATTGTGTTAAAAATGCTGTATCTAATTCAATTTTTATGATAAATGGATGGAATTAATTTTGTTTGTATCAGCAAAGAACATTCTGTCGCATATTATAACGGAAAATTTGAAATTTTTTATACAAATTATACTCCATTTTCAATTTTTTGTCTTTTAATTTTGATGAGTACTGCAAACATGATTTCCCAGTTCTTCACAGAGTTTTTCTGCATTACAAATTCATTTCTGTTTGTAAAACTTGACAAATTTTAGTAGTCCCTGATGTCATAAAACAGATGGAAGCAATAAAATCATTTGGTCTCCTGCTAGCACTGCTTACACTCTTCGGATTTTCGAATCTTTTGACTAAAGGACAGAAGAATGAAAGCATGACTATTCAAGAAATGGCTAGAGGGGTCACATCTTCAGTGCTAAGAACTTCCGTTGTAGCTGCAAGAGATTATTGCCCTTTCTATGGGCGTGAACAGAGCTGCATGGTGGATGAGATACAGAGAATGAGCTGTTTTCTGTGCGTTCGTAGTGAAATCGAATACTGTAGTTTCATTTCAGCCTATATATATCAAGCAGATAACAACAAAAAAGGTATGTACATCGAATTTTACTGTATATTTTTAACACATTAATCTGCAGAATCTGCAATAAAAGTACTGGCTCGTGGATGAGTTTGGGCATAACTCATACGTATACCCTTTTTAGTTGTTGTTCAACTAGGTATCATTTTAATTTTTCTATTAGGGCTTTACTCAAGTCTGTCTGGTAATTACTACATTTAAAAATAAATATTTAGGACTGCGCATTCGTTTCTACTAGCGGCGTGTGCACGCGCTTCCCCTAGCTGAGTTTAAATGCCCGAGTGGCCAAGACTGGGTACTTTGGCCACGACAACCTTACTCACCACTGGCACAAACGGGGCACTTCGGCACTTAAAGGTTAATTAACAAGTAAATTCTAAATATGCCATTCAATGAAACTGGGCCTCAGTTCTCAATTTATCAACCTAAATAATTATAATTATGTTCTCTTTGTTAACATATTTTATAAAACAGCACTGAGTGATGCAGAAGTTCAAAAAATTTAAAATGGATGTTAGTATTGCTCTATATTACTTAGAACAAAACTCTCAGAAACTAAACAAATAAAATAAGATTTCAGAACTGACACATCCCTGAACTTAACTAACAAGATCAACTTTAAGGCACAGTCAAAAGTCAAAGCAAGTAAGTTATTGGACAATTCTCACCTGCTGCTGCTTACTTTCAGCAGGTAAGTTCACCAAGTTGCAGTAATTGGCTCTCTTTATCCATGCCACATGCAAATAATAGTCAAAGGAAAGCAAAGAACACAAATTAAAAGTCACACAAAATACAGCTTTAGCACAAGAATTGTTATTTCAGTATGTTCAAATCATTTGTACTGACAATGTACTGAGATGTTTCCTTATGTCTGTTGTTTTACATCCAATACCTTTACAAAAGTGATGGAAATGAGGAAATGACAAATGGATTGGCAAAGATGATTAAAGGAAGCAGTCAGATCTGATTTATGCAATAGTCTGGAAGTGACAGAATTTTCAATTTAAAGGGATGAGAGTTCCCATCTGGCAGCAGCACGCAGATAACATTGGGAAAACTTCCCTTTCTTTTCTATTTTCCTTCCCACTTCCTTCCCGAGTATCTTCAACTCTCTGGAGTAGCTCAACCTGGGAAACACTTCCCATAAAAGTTCATGATAACAGCCTTAAATTAGGAGAAATTTACAATGAAAGACACATTAAAATATCCATGCCCTAAGTGTACCTCAAACCCCTAACCCCAGGGTGTACTTGGCCCAAGGCACACACATTTTTTAAGGCTCGAAGCCATTGGAAATGGCCACAAAAAATTACAAAACATTTCATAATGAACACCATTTTAAATATTTCATGTTTCCACAGAAGTGGGTGTTCACGCCATTGTCTTCTACACTGTGACATCAAAGAGTTCTGAATGTGGATACCAACAATTCAAATTGTTCAATTGCTTCCATCTTCAAGGAAGAAGTGATTAAAACGTTAATGGAGCCAAGTTATTTACCCTACAAGTCCGAATATAAGGTGATCCCTTATTTTCTGATGAGAAAATAAACATGTTTCTGTTTTTGAAAAAAAAAATTAATATGTCATTTAGTTCTGCGGGTTACAAAAAAAAAATCAAAACTCTACTCCTCAGAAATACCGAAGTGAACAGAGAAGTTCATGGAGGTAGGCCTAGGCCCACTGGGGCTGTAGTGCCAAGGAAAATAAAAATTAACATCAGATAGAAGAGTTAATAATTCCATTAAGATATATATATATATAATGTTCGTTAACATAACATATGTCACATGGTGTATTACTTACAAGGGCCCTGACAGAGACACGTGTAACAATTGGTTTCTTTCTCAAGTCCATGCTACTGTAGTTGCTGTTAGTTTGGAAAGAATCTGATATGCTGTACATGCCTCCCAGATAGCGAGATCTCTACATACACATGTGCACAGAATGCAAGCAAAGTTTATGCATTAGTATATACAATTACAGACATGCAAGGAAGCCAGCTAATTATAATTAAGAGTAATCTACTATAAAGATTACAGTATTCTGGGATGTAATGTCATTTAGAAAGCAGTCTTATGGGATGTGGGGCCATATAGATATTGTGTTAACTGACATTTCGGAGGAACATATCGCCTCCATCTTCAGGGTAGAAGAGAAGAAGAAATCTAGAAATTAAACAGCATGAGCAGGTACAACAGGCTGATACCAGTCGACTGGACTCAGTCTGTTGCACCTGCTCATGCTGTTTTGCTCGTGGATTTCTTCTTGTCTTCTACCCTGAAGATGGAGGCTAAACTTTACTCTGAAATGTCAGTTAAAACAATATCTACATGGCGCCACATCCCAGAAGAATGTAGTCTTAATAAATTCACCATTGTGAAAATCTATAATCTGAAGCCATAACTATCAAGCACAACATTACAGAATTCTTCAAACCCCATATTAATTTAATCTATATTCTTAAACAAATACATTAAAACTACAGAAGAGACAAAAATCCTGAATCAGAGGTGGGTGGCATGGCTTTATGGATGGTACATTTCACAAATCGTATTCTTTATTTCTTGCATTTTGTTAAATTAAAATACAATTTTCTTCTCTTTTGGACTATATCATGACCAGTTGGAAGTAATCTAAACATGTTATGCCACATGCCAAACAAAATTTTAAAAATTATGACATCATCAATTATTTTAGTTAAGTTTTGAAGAAGTTGATTAGGTTTGAGAGGATGTGGGGATGCAGGAACTTCTCATCATCTGAGGCAGCATTTACTCTTTCACTGGCCATTATGCCAGGAAAGGACACAGATCAATCTAAACACCTACTTAACAGAACATCAAAACAATAGACAAAATACCCTCAGCAAGACCGATATCAGCTGAATAATGAACACAGAATAAATTAAATAGGATTCCTCACTACAGGGTTTCTGTGACATTTACTTATGCAATCTGCAGTATGAAAGCTGACTCACCACATCTACACCGTTGAGGACACAATCCTGATCTCTTACCTCCGCATCTTCCTCGTCACACAGAGTGCTCAGGTCACCAAAACTTCGTCTCTGTTAGGATTAGTTACATCTCTTGTTAGTTACACACAAAATGCACATAAAATATTTTTTCATAATATTAAAACATATTAAAAAAATCCCTGCTTAGTAAAATTCCAGACTTGGAAACAGAAGCCTCTACTTCAAGCACCACATTAATTAAATGCCACATAAGCTAACACAGGTATCAATGCAATACTGCTTGAATAAGAAATTATAAAATCCACTGCTCTGAAAATTAATTTGGAACCAGTAACTTGTAATGTCCTACTGTCCAACAGCAACTTTCTCAGCATGGTGTTCAATGGTTAAAATACTGACACATTTTGCTCCTATGATGGGGGCAATGATGTCTATATTGCAAGAGAGAAACAGACTGTGCCTACATTACACGAAGGATGGCACTTGTTTCTGCCATATAAATTCATACGAAGACTAAGACTTCTGGAATGTGGTTCCAAGTAGTTTGGTAGAGGGGTACAAATGTTTTACTGGAACCTAAAGAACCATGGTAGAAGATTGAGGTAGCAGATGCCTCCAAGATAGTAGCACTTAAGTACCAAACTACATGGCATCATATCCCAGAAGGCTGTAATGTTCATTGCTCCATGACCTTCCAATATTCTGAATTTAAACCTCCGTTTGAATTCTGTGTTGTAGGCAGAGTGTTTAAAACTGGCAGTGCCTCCATCAGCCATGATGTGCTACTGGGCAACATACATCATACTATAAATAGCTCATTACAGAAGTGCTAACTGTGATTCATACCTCTAGTAATATGTGGGCTTCTTGGTATTGAAGTCACACAAAATCCAATTATGCAATAATCTTATATTATACAAAAAAAAAACATTTCAGACCATCAAGAAGTGCTACATTCATTACCTGTTTCCTTGTTTCATGAGCAGAAATTATTTTGCGACATTATCAACTGTATAATGATACTGCTTTCAGAAACATTATTATGAGGGTAAGTCAATAAGTAAGTTACAAATGGATATAGACCTTAAACAAATAAGAGCATTGATTGGAAAAATGCTCTTATTTCTCAACATAATATCTCCCTCTACACTGAGGCACTTGTCCCACTGTTTCACAAGCCCCTGAAAACTAGCAGAATAAAATTCTTTGGGCTGCTGTTGGAACCAGGCGGTGACTTCCCTTTCTACAGCTTCATCGGGAAAATGTTCAGCCAAAATATGATGTTTAAGAGGGCCGAACAAATGGAAGTCGCTTGGAGCAGGGTCAGGGCTATATGGAGGATGCGCGAGGACTTCCAACTTGAAATTTTGCAGTGTCTCCTTTGTCTTGGTGGCAGTATGGGGATGCGCGTTGTCATACAAGAGCAACACGCCTTTGGTGAGGAGTCCTGGTCACTTCCGTTGAATGGCCTTACAAAGTTTTCTGAGGATGTTACAGTAGGAGCTGACATTTACGTAAATGCCGACTCCTACTGTAACATCCTCAGGATGTAAATGTTCCCTGTAAAGGGAAATCACCGCCTGGTTCCAACAGCAGCCCAGTGAATTTTATGCTGCTGGTTTTCATGGGCTTGTGAAACGATGGGACAAGTGTCTCAATGTACAGGGAGATATGTTGAGAAATAAAAGCATTTTTCAAATCAGTACTCTTATTTGTTTAAGTTCTATATCCATTTGTAACTTACTTATTGACTTACCTACATATTATTATTATTATTATTATTATTACTCACTTTAGCAAAGCAATGTATAGCAGTACATTTACTCCATAAAAGCAGGTATGGAAATGGAAGAAAGCTCCATGCATTCTGAAGTTGGAGAAGCTATAGGTAAGCCCTACATTCCATACTGTAGCTTCTTTCTACTCCAGGGAAAGGGCCCACATTTCCCACTGAATCAAAGAGCAGTTTGCCCTCAAAGTAATTCTGTACACAGAGTCACAGAAAATAATTATCTGTGTCTCTCGAATACATGGATGTACTGTAGATTAACAACCACATGCCAACTACCACAACTATTTGAGCATTAAGTTATGCAATGGAGGTCAGATTCTGAAGCATCGATAATTTTGAAATGTTATGTGCAAAGGAACTGTTGCTGGCCAGTCAGTACTGTCTTACTCCACAGTACAGTGCACTGCCCATTAATTTAATGGCTCTGAAAATCACTGCACTATACTTAGTTACCACATATGAAATGTGGAACTCAGTTATGCTGCTTTATTGCAGCTTCTGCTTTCCTCAGGAGAGAAAAGAAGTTGAAGAGGTAAATCATATGACAAAAAGAAACAGACACAAATGTGCATATATGGACAAGATGATATAATGATGACAGTGCTGGCTGAGAGGTGGAGAAGGTTGCAATACACTTACATCTACTTAATAATTCTGTTTCAAGTGCACAGGTTTTATCACATAAAGGAGATGCAAAGCTCAACATGAACGGTTAGTAACTGCAGGCCTCAAAGGCAAGGGTCATGGCCTAACCCAAGGTAATCTCAAAATTCGCATACAGGGAGCGAGGGAATCCACACGATACCTCAGTCAGGACAGCCAGTCGAGGTCTGAACTGGGAGCCTACTAAATATAAAGTACTCCTATACCACACACACTACACTACATACTACAGATGGGGCCACTGAATATTTACATTCTACGTCCAGTTATTTCTTTTCAATCACAGTCTTCTACCTTACAATAACAAACTGAAGTCAAGATGCTGTGTTTTGCTTTTCAAATAACTAAGAAAACAAGAACAGGAAAACCTGGTGGGACTGAAATTAAATGGTACACATCAGCTGTTGGCTTATGCTGATGGGTGACTCTACTGGGAGATAACACAGATACCATGAAGAAAAACACACAAACTTTAACTGACGCTAGCAAAGAGGTTGATCTAGAAGTATAAGCAGCGAAAACTATGTATGTCTTATCACCAGAATGTAGGGAGAAATCACAACAGCTAACAGGTGCCATAAAATGTTGCACAGTTCAAATATTTTGGAACGACAGTAACAAATCAAAATTTGGATCAGAAGGAAATCAAGAGGAGACTGAATTCGGGTAATGCTTGTTATCTATCATTCGGTCCTGTACCTTTCGTCTTGTCAGCTCCTGTCTAGAATCATAAAAATTAGAATATAAAAATCTATAATTTTGCCTGTGGTTCTGTATGGGTGTGAAACATGGTCTCTGACTTAAAGGGAGGTACATTGACTGAGGGTGTTTGAGAACAGGGTTGCAGAGGAGAATATTTGGAATGAAGAGGGATGAAGTGGCAAGAGGTTGCAGAAAACTGCATTTTGAGGAACTTCATAAATTTTACTCTTCACCAAGTATAATTACAATGATCAAGTCAAGGACGATGAGATGGGCAGGGTATGTAGTATGAATGGGGGAGAAGAGGAATGCATGAAGGATACTGGTGTGGAAGCCAGAAATAAAAAGACTACTAGGGTAATATTAAAATGGATCTTAGAGAGAAAGGATGGGGTAGCAATGACTGGATTATCTGGTTGAGTATGGACTGGATTATCTGGCTGAGAATAGTGAACATGGTAAAGAACCATTTGGTTCCATAAAATGTTAGGAAATTCTTATGTAGCTGCGCAAATGGCAGTTTCTCAAGCAGGGCTCAGCTCCACAAAGCTAGTTAGAGAATGTAAGAGCCACCATAAAAGAATCAAGTTTACAATCTGAATAAATTATCTACTATCCTTATATTACCATTGCTCTGTTCCCCTCACATCAAGTTAATACTTGCAAGAGGTATGAACTTAACCACAATACAATACACTCCTTTTGGAGCTCATAATAAATCAATACATTAAGTATACTTACAAGTTCTTTAATTGAGATGCCAGTCTCTATGACTTCCTTCTTTTCAGGATTGTCTTGTTTTCTGTAAGTTTTCTGTGCCTGGTTACAGTAAGTTTGTTTCTACAGACATAAAACATGCAAAACAAATACAACTACCTAGAAAACAGACACATAAAAACAATAAAACCATGCTACGTCCCAAAACGTACAAACTATTTCCTTTCCAGTTCATTCAGAATATGTTATACAATATATTTTTCCTGTAATATTCTACAAAAATATTTTGCCCTATTAATACAATACAAATAGGTTAGATTAGGAAATGTGTCAGACTCATCTGAAAATGTTCCTTTGAATAATTTTACTGAAGGCAAGTAACCCTAACATTAATTCCACAAAGTGTGATACATTTTTCTTGTGTAATTCTGTCTTAAATTTTTATGGTCCCTTAATACAAGAGTTGAATGCCATCACAAATAAAAAAAAAAATGTCTTGACAAATAAATTGTCAGTCGTCATGCCAAGGACTGCAACACTTCGGTGAATTATAAACATATGATAAACAAAAATTTAATGAAAGTGATATATTTTGATGGTATTCTATATTTATTTCAGAGAAGGGATGACTCTTGAATTGTAGCCCACAAAGTAAGAAATCTTAATATACGCCTTATAAATGCCTTGAAGTAGTACATTTGAAAGTTAGATGATAGAAAGTAAGACTTACTTCACTACTCCTGAGGAGGTTAACTGTATCAGAGCATAAATATTTATGTATAGCTGTAATTTGAATTCAAATTTAAATATGAATTTGAATTTATTTATGTTCTATAAATCCAAGTACAGGTTGACACCATAGGTTATGGAACAAGTGAAGTACAAATACATAATATCTGTGCAATAATAATTTTACTTGCAAAGTTAATAAAATTATAATACAGTATTAATATTGCCATGCTAATTGGATACACACAGCACAATCTGCAAATAAGCAAAACGATACAGTAACATGCTTGGGAATACACTTCAGCTCAGAACTGATACTAGGTACTGTTTGTTTACATTGAAATATTCTTCTACGGAGTACAAGGAGTGAGTAAGTAACTAATGTTCCAGATGGCCGCGTCATAGCTCAGGCAGTTAGTCGCTGGCTTCCCACCGAGACAGCCCGGGTTCGATCCCGGGTCTGGTCAAGTGGGATTTGTGGTGGACAAAGTGGCGCTGGGGCAGGTTTTCTCCGATTACTTCGGTTTCCCCTGCCAATCTTCATTCCACTAAATTCTCCATCATCATAATCACCCGGGGCAGGCTACAATAGGGCAATCAGTTACCGCTGTGTTGAGTGGACCCAGTTGGACTCCACCCACAACTAAGCGAATTAAAAAAAATTTAATTGTTCCAGATATTGTAAGACTATTTTTGCTGAACTGGTAGGAACCCACAACCTTCCTATACCACTATGAATAAACAATAAATCTGTGCTTCTTTGTAAACTACACTTTATTGAAAATTAACATGAAGTATCTCTTCATGAAGCCTGCAGAGCGCAGCAAATGCTACAGTCAAGGTTTATTAAGAATAAAATAAAATTTGGCTCCATTATTATATGTTAATATTTTATTAGGCTGATGGGTAGAACAAATTTCATCCTCTATTAGATGATTTTTGAGTCCTTGTGACATTTCGTAAGAAGCTTTTTTTATGGTGAGGAGTTGTTAGTACAACGCCCAAACCACCAGATGGAGGACCACCCTTTGTCAGCTGTCCGCGAGTGCTTATTCAATATATTTGCAGCTACCCTCTATATCTGTAGACCATCCTATCTTAGCGAGATAGGATGGTGTGGTATCGACTGAATTGATATGGCTCAAGATAACGCAAGTGGAGTGCTCTTGTGAACACAGTCATGAACCTTCAGGTTCCACAAAATGGTGGGAAGTTCTTGAGTGATTGCATGAGTGGTCGCTACTCAATAAGGACTCAGCTCCTTGAAGTTAGACAGTTATTAGAAGATTCAGGAATCATTTAAATTACTGTGAATACATTAATGATATTATTTAATTAATTATAAATTAAATGTTATTTCAGAATTGAGGTTATCACAGTGGTACAAAGAGTACTTGTACAAAGAGTGCTATCTTCTGAGATGTGACACCTTGTAGTTTGGTAGATTGGTCCCAATGTTTTGGAAAAAGCTGTTTCCTCCATCTTCAGTCTGATGTGTTGATATCTATCTCCTAAACTACACTTTGTCACATCCCAGAAGGCACTACTCTTCTGCATTTGATTTACATCTGTGCATGTAATGTTGGAACTGAACATTCATTACTTCTCCAGTAAGGAGACTAATTACAGGCACTGCATTTAAATCTAAGACAGAAACTAAGAAGGATGGCAGTCATAACAATATTCTCATAACTTCAAACATGTTCATATGGAAAACTGATTTGAATTTGAAAAAAACTACTACTCCCCACATCCTCCAATATTAGAAAATTATTTGTACTCTGAACTTACCAGTGATTGAATTGGTCCACAGAGTTGAATATCTTCATCTATTTCTTTCATCATTTCCTTCGAAGGCCAAGCGTGATTCTGGTTTGCATAAGTTGACTTCTATGCATAATCATGCCCCACAAAAAAGAATTACCAAACACATGAAAGAAAACCATGCTGCCATGCAATTTTCTAACCTCATCGGCAAAAGAAAAAAATCACTCCTCCTTATACGATGGACATTTTTAGTACCAAAACTTTTAAACGAAAGAAAAAAACTGGCATTCCGCAAATGTTCCACCTAAGTGAGAGGAAGAAACAAGAAAATGCAGAAAACTGCACAAGGACCTATACAATTTGTACTCTTCATTAAATACTGTTATGACGACTACATCAAGATGAATCAGATGTGAAACAGAGTGCAGAAACAAAGAATGCATATAAAATTGCATTTGGTTAGCCTACAGAGCAAATCATTTGGGAGGCATACACAAAGAAAGGGGGCAGTACTAAAATACCCAAAGTTGTGAAATGACTTGAATGTCTCATAAGATAAAGTGGTGTAGACGATTATGAAATACAAATTTATAAAAACAGAATAGCACAATATGAAGACAATTTAGTTTAAAATTATATTTGAGACAAGGGCAGGTTTTTGAGATATGTTTTGAACTATAAATACACGTTAATGGTGACAGGAACTCAAAACAGTGGTCGTAAGTTTGAACGATCTCTGACAAGCTGCTAAAACTAGTACATAAAAAACAGAAGGCGCACATGAACCACATATCATATTACGTTTTACAGTTATGCACACTGTGTATAACAGAAAAATTTTGTCATTTTTTTACATGCAGTAATGTGAACTTTGTCTTCTGCAAGACCTCACCTAAACCTCTTATTGTTGGAGCAGCAAATAAATAAATTCAGCTTCTTCTTAAGAAAATGAACAGTTACCCTGCTAATCAAGAATTCCTAACCCTTTTCAGCCCCAAAGATTCATTACTACATTCACAAGAATCTGCTACTGATCCCAGTACTGAGTAAGTTGAATCCAATCCATAGACCTACACTCTATTTTTGTTGCTCATTAGCACTCTCCTATACAGTGTCACAGAAATTATAATCTGAGTGCACATAGGCTGAAAGAATGAAAACTTAAAAAACGTATACTGTTATAATATTTGTATATATTATTTCACACTTACACCAACTCATCCATGCACACACATTCTATTTAAGAAGCAATAACTTTGAACACAAGACATTAACCTTCAATTTTAATCTTAGGCGTCCTTAACTATTAAAAGCTAACTGTGGTCTTTCATTTCGCCATAAGCTCACTGATTATGGTGAGAACCTGTATCATACTCCTGCCAACCATATCAATGCCACACTGACGCCTTTATCAAAAATTTGTGCGAGATACATCCCACTATGTTATCTATAGTGTTTGCATATAGTGGTAGAATGGAATATAGTACTAGCATTTCTGGATAAAAGTCAATCAAGCCGAAATAGAATACCACTCAATTAATCTTCTACACACTATGCATTGCTCATATACCATATTCAAGCCAAACAAAACCAATTCTAAATCTCCTTGTTTAAAGATTTAATTCTGAAAATAACACTTAAAAATCTTACAACCCTTGAAGCCCTAACACAAACGAAACTACATTAACCAAATCAGTATATTTCAAGCATCAGAACTTAATAAGATCTAAAAGTTTGAGACGATGGTACATTGCTACAAGTATTATGTTTTTGGACGTTATCCATCATCTTGTATATTTTTTAAAAAAACGTCCAGTCTCCGAAACTTGTGTTTTGAAAAACATCTCTCTGGAGATAGGGGCTAGCTCTATCAATTGGACCCAACTGAGTAGGTTTTATCTGAGGAAGGGGACAGAATCGAGCCTCCGAAACATTGTGTTTTGAAAAAGAAACAGGACAGTTTTTAAAAAAATAGACAAGACGATGGATAATGTCCAAAAACATAATACTTGCATCAGAACTTAACCAACTAAAAAAGAATTTAGTAACTCATTCTTCTGTAAGCCTTAATGAGTTTCATAATGCTATCAACACCACAGCTGTTCTCTCCTCAAATCTAAAGTGAGCAAAAAAAAACAATGTTCAGTCAAAGGATATACTATTTTCTGTTTAGGGAAAAATTGGGGGGGCACCCTAAACACAAATCATGCATTCTGCCATCCAACAATAACTTAAATGTCTCCTTTCATTTTGTTGGAGTAATTTTTGTGTTCCAGTCACGGTAGCTGAGCAGTCTAAGGTAATGTACTGTCTTCACTTGCTTGGAAACCAGGATCCTGGGTTCCAATCTCACTCAGGGCATGGATTTTTAGTTTTTGTGTGTGCGTTTTTCTGTGTTTGTGTAAAGGTAGAGGCCTGGTCACCTGCCCAAGGAGTCCTACCGAATGTGTAAGATCTAGAAAAACTGAAGCGAACGGAGAAGTTCATGAAGATAGGCCTAGGCCCACTGGGGCTGCAGTGTATCATGTATCAAAGGGGCCAACAACACAGCACTTAATTATAACCAATATTAAAATGTTTTAATACTCAGATCATTTTATTCTCCTCCCACAACATGTTTCAGTCTATCAAGTTCGACATTGAGTTATTTTTATGAATTACATATGTCATCATTGAATTATCAGGATGGTTTGATTTTCACATTTATCAGTAATATTACAATCTAAATTTTAATTTTAAATTTTAAGTTTTTATGTTGGATATGTCTTGAATGATGTATGCTAGAAGTTAAACGTTTTGAAAGCTAAAATCTTAAAAATATATACAAATTCTTTGTACTGAAACTCTACAAAACAAAAACCACATATTCACCTAAAGTACCACGATCTATGCAAGCCGGCTAATCACCTTCTTACACCAAAAGGAACATAAATAACCACAAAATACAATCAAATAATTTATAATATTTAAAACACATATATTAAATTTCTTATATATATTTTCCAGGCTTTTGCTTGTCTAATAAACATCAAAAACCATGAAGGCCAGCTACACTACCTAATACACCACGTTGCATTTCAAATATTTAAAAACTAGAATTCCATTTTTATCTAATTTTATTTTATTTAACAATTAGCTTTTAACTTTTAACAAGTTTAACTTTTAGCATATATCATTCGACACATATTCCACATAAACATTTAAATTAAAATTAAAATTTAACAATTCAATGACAACATAAGTAATTCATAAAAACCACCTAATGATCTTAATCAAAACATGTAGTGGGAAGATGACAAAAAACCCGAATATTAAATATTTTAATATTGGTTTATAATTAATTATAAGTATGACTTCGATTAGTTAACATCAGTCCTATAATTTGTTAACAAGCTCTTTCACTCACTAACATTACAGGTCCTAAAATCTCTTTTATTACTTACAGCCTGTTATTAGACCCTGTCTTAAACCATGCATTCTCGTCATCAGCTCTGGTTCCTTATATTCTCTAGATGCATACCATTTCAGCTTCCACACCTTTCTTACCCTCTCTAGGTGTCGAGTACAAACTGTGAAGTCCTTGTTACATAATCTTCTACATCAGTTACCTACTTTCATGTCTGGATATTTTGTTCTGCAATCTTGTTTTTAATCTAAAATCTTCATATCAAATTACAACTGAATATTTGTTGTGAGTTAATGGAATAGCAATCAGAAACATCATAAACACTTACTTACCAATACTTTGACAGAAACACTGGACAAATCATCATCCATAATTTTTCCATCTGCATGTATGCACTCTTTGGGAGACATTTCGACCTCATTATTTGTAACACTGCCCACATGAGTTAGTCCTGAGTTTGCCTGGTTAGTGGAACACCAGTAATGTTTAATTAGCCATCACAACACACTGTAGCCACAACACTGCACATAGTTCTTAGCGCCTGTACAAGACCTGTTACATGCATACTATAAAACAAAACAATCAACACCATAGGGAGTTTCCTTGTCAGTCTGAACTCAAATGGTGACTATAGTCCCTCAAATGTAGCACATTCTAACATGTATTCACAAATTTCATTCAGTTTAAAACATGAAAGGAATATGTTTTATAACTTACCCTCTATAAAACCTAGAATCCACAAACAAAAAAAAACAACAACAACATAATAAAGGAGCATAACTGTCATGTAAAATGTGAAATTATTTTCTTTTCAACTTTCCTACTAAAATATGTTGTGAATAAAATTTCTGCTTACTTAAATATGTTAGTCTTCTGAGCACCCTGAACTCTGATCTGGCGACTATGAATCAAGGGTGTGGAACGTTGCCAGAAAACAGTTTCATATACTTTTAATGAACATTATAAAAAAGAAATCACTTGAACATTTTAAGTTTCTCTTAAAATTCCCTTAAATTTAAGAAATTTATACGACTTCCAAGAATGTGTTTAATTTTTATACAAATGCTTTTGGAAATATATATAATCATATCTGAGCCTAAGGAAGATAAATTTTACAAATTAACGTTAAACACTGACTACATACTCAATCGCATACAGCACTTAGTCCAGATGGATCCAATATACATAAATTTATAAGCACTGTATAAATTTTGCTGGAAGCTTTAACTGTATAATATTTTCAACCATAAATATCATACTATTGATATGAGTATAAATACTGATAATGCTGCCCTTAATTTATATGTTGCACATTCAGAATGTGCTGGGTTCGTTATGTTCAACAACCAAGCTTATTTTTAATACTATCTCCAAAACACAATAAAAACTTAATTTAAAATTAATGGACTTGTTGGACGTATATTCTAAGAAAATGAAGAAATCTCCATGCATCATATAAAAAGCACTTACCACAGAGATATTTTCTTTCTCTGGATCAGATTTTTTGGTCTTCTTTGTTTTCTTGATTTTTATGGTATCTTCTCCCTCACTCTTCTTCTTTTTAGTCTTCTTTTCAGCTGTCTTTGTCATCACGAACTCACTCTTCTCAGACTAACAGAAGATAGAGAGAATACAAAATCAGTAAAAAAACATGCAATTTCATCAATGGCTGTGTTTAAGAGCTTCTAATTCACAAAGAGAGACAATCATCAGCAAGTAGATATCTGTGTCTAGTTGCTGTCTCAAGCTCTGCTGGAAAGACATGAATCTATTAAAAATGCTACGTTTCTCATTTATTTATTTTTATAAAATGTACCAGCTGCAGGTATCAAGCCACATTGAAAGAGATGTCAGGAAAATATGTATGGCCATGGAAAATATATATGTATAAAAAGTTTTTTGGTCCAATTGGTTGGGGCTTATTTCAAGATATTATTCTGGCATTTGCAGCAAAGTATCGAGTAACACCACAAAAAAGCTTGCATAGTTTGTTCACTTTAAACCTTTTCTTGCACTGTACCTAAATTACAGTAAAACAATTCATTCAATCAATATATTTTACTGTATTAGCAATTGGGACCGCCTCTGTGGTGAATGAAAGGAGCATTAAAGTTCCAGTCAGATGAGTTTTGTGGTCCCTGAAAATAGTTCTCACTACGCAGTTTCCTCAATTTCTTTATCATCTGGTTTGGTTGCAAACTTAACCAACTACACGGTATAAAAATCCTTCCTTTAAAGCTGGTAGTCGCTTTTCTATCCAGAATGTAGAGACAAGCTCTTCTAAAATGCTTCCACCCATTTACCTGCAGTCATAATTCATGAGACCACAAAGCATATTTTTACCTCGGTGAAAACCTAAAAGCTCAGATGTAGAACTATTGGGGAAAGGACTATTGTCACTTAGAATGTGATGCCGTGTATTATGGTAGATAGGTAGTAGCACTTTAAAGAAACATTCTACCTCATTCTTCAGGATAGGAGAACCTTCTGACCTGAAGATGGACCTAGCACATTCAACCTGAATATTGGTACCTATCTACCAAACGAGCTGCTGTCACATCCAAGAACATGTTCATAGCAAGAGTTGCAAGAATCTCCAATATCATACTGTTAGAGAGAAATGTTTACAATTTTAATAAAAGTAAATAAAATGTAATGTAACACCTATTGCATCAAAAACCAAGTGTGCATTACGAAAATCTTATAAAATGATTGATTTGGAAGTGTCACATAAACACTAGATCATTTAGAAACAAAACTGATACATTCTAGCAATAATAAAAACTTCAACAAACATTCCAGGGAAATTTTTCTAAATCTTACAGTTTGAATCCATCAAAACGGAATCTCAATGATCGTGAAAATAGAACAATCATAATTTTGCAACTGAACCAAATTCAGGTTTTGAACTTGACAATGTAACGTGTGATTGACTGTAAAAGAAGAACATAATTAACACCATTCCACTATCTAATAATGTTAATGCAAAACAACATTAAAAGCTTCACACTTACATCAGAGTATGAGGAGTCAGTGTTTTTAGGAGAACACACTTCTGGGACTATATCATCAGCATGCACATGAACATCAGTATCAGCAGGGCCCAAGTCTTCAGGAATTTCTGATATCTGGCGTGTTTCCTCTTCAGTTTCAAGAGCCTCAGCAACTGTTGTCCAATTCGCAAACTCATCTTCAGCTAAACCATTGGTCAACTCAACTTCTGGACCATGTCCATCACTGGCAATACTTAGTTCTTCATTTGAAACTAGTTCACTTTCGCTTATTTCATTGTCATCAGGTGGAATTATATCAATTTCTGGAATAATCACCTTATAATTAACCGATTCTTCCATTACTTTAGAAGTGGCTTCCTCGGGGGTTACAGGAATTTCATCATCGTCAATATCCACAGTATCAAACACATTAGTAACCACACGACCTACTGACTGCAAAAGACCATTGCTACCACACTCAAACTCTTCCATGCTGTTACTCACATTAACACTTACAACATCATTAGTAGGAATACCCTCATCCAGAAGGACTTCCTCAGGCATTGTCTCGACATAATCACAGGCACCTAAAGATTCATCCAAATTTTGTGATGGATGAACCCCCCCAACAGATTTACTACCAGTCCCATTTATGAGATCATCATTGCTTATATCAGCTTGTATACAAATAAAGTCAGAATCTGCACACTCACTCGAGGGTGTTTCAACAATATCTGGGTTATCAATTGGCTCGGATTTGCTGCTGTCAACTATTGTAGTGAAAGGATCAAATGTTGAAAGCGTAATCTGATCAATTCCGTCTTTCAAGACTGAGGAGTCTGTTACACAATCAGATTCTGATGATTCATGAAGGCATTCATCAACAGCTTCTGGGTATGATATTGAGCAAGTTTCTATTTCATTTGGTTCTTGTGTGCTTTCAATTTCTGACTCAACTATATTAGGTTCTTCTTCAAGGAATGGATCTGCTAGGTCTTGTTCATCTTTCAAGCATGGATCAATTCCATTCATTTGCGTGTCATCAAGTGTATTGAAAAAGAACATATCATTTCCAGTAAAAGTCTGGAATGAATGATTCCTTTCAGCCAAAATGAACTGTGTATTCACATCAAGGGCTTCATAATCTGCTTCATCACAATTCTCAGCAAAGAGAATTGTTGGTGAGGATTTCACTGGGGAACTGTCTATCTGTTTCACACCAATGGCGTCTGTACCGTCAACTTCCCCCACAGTATCTGCATAACTTGAGAATCTGGGAGAGAACTGAGACTCTATCAATTCTTTACGCAAAGCTAACTCTGATTCAATTAGTTCTTGTAAACTTGTTTCCTCGTCAGGTGAAGGGAGGTTCAGTGTTAGATCAGTCGAATCTGGGTTACTGGATGATCTGTTATGAATGTCAAGGGAATCTGCTTCAATGTTGTTCGATGTTAGTTCACACAAAGACACTCCACAAGCGCTGCTGTTACTTACAACCTTCACAGTTTTCGCAACATCGGCCATCACTGGAAAATTCTGAAATAGAAAGTAAAATATATTTAATTACATTTGCCACCTACAAAGAAGTCGCTAATTGGTATGCTCACAAAATCAATGACCAAAGTCTGTTTCAAGCTTGCCATTCTACCTCAAGCTAATGAAAGAAAGAAAGAAAAAAGGGAAACTTCAGCTAGAGGTGAAGGCAAACAGTAATCAAAGCCTGAAGGTATGGATCACAAATAGAAACACGTGCCACATGCAACATTCAGTTACACATCCATTCTGACCCAGGATGATGTATATTGCGTCTGTAGTTATAAATCTCCCTGTATAATACACAAACCGAACACTGAAATGGGGACTGGCTAACACGACGTTCAAAGCAATGGTGAGTGTGAGGTAGTTCAAATGTTGATACTTCTAGTGCTGTCTCTCAGTAGATATAGTCCAGAAAACAGTGCTAAAGTTGCGAGGAATCAATGGTAGTAGTTACAAAATCATAACAGAGACAGAGAATCAAACATTCAAACACAATGATATCACTATTACTTTACTACCACACTGCAGCATCTATTTGGAGGGACTGTCAGAATTCCTTCCAGGTAACTGGGCATTCAGTGAATCCAGAAACACTTCAAATTTGGTATCACAAAATAAATCTTTGCCAATCATGGTGGCCACGCCGTCTAAGGCATGAACCATCTTTGCCAGCTCGAATACTGGAATCGTGAGTTTGAATCCCACTGGAGGCATGGATGTCTGTGTGCATTTATTCTGTGTGTAGGCAGTGGCCTTGCGATGGGCTGATCCCCCCTCCAAGGAGTCCTACCAGCAAAAGCGGCCAAGGTCCACAAGGACTGTAGAGCCATACATAGATAAGATACATTTGGCTGATTTATTTCTTGATATGCATAATTTTTCACATCCTATCCTAAACATCTAAACCCAAATGATTGGTCAACTATAAGCCAGAGTTTCTCCTTGTTACTCTTACGGTACACATAGTTGTTTTGAGGCTTATTATATCATACTTCCCACTTTATTTAAAAAGCTGATGCTTTACAATGAATATTTAGATTGGTTTCTGACATATTTCAACCGGATTTTTAAAATAGCCTGTCATCAAAGGGTTAAACATCAGATTCCTCTATAAGAAGATCCAGGACTGAACAGTGAAAAGTAACTGAAGCAGACAAAGACCACTTCAACTTAATGAATCCATTTTTTCATTCTTCCTAAGCTCTGGGATCCTTTCAACAGAAAGTATCTTTTATTCACAGACAACGTTAGATCATTGTTGCTGTAAAATGTTAACTGCAAGGCGAATTAAAGGGTAACATCAGTTACTCAAATTACGATTCTCTGGATGGGTTGAGGAACTACTGACCCCAGAGTATATGAGATGAACCTACTATCCTCCAATAAGCAGTTAATCTAACACCCATCAATAGAATTAAGCAATATATCTGCTAATTAAGAATATGACGTACACAGTTCTATCTGTGGAGAAGGTTAACCGGAAGTCAAAGCCACTGAAACAACTGTTATTGAATACATCAGGATATAAACGAACTAAGGAGATCTTGGATACTAGAACAAATATTTCTATTTTAAGCATGAATTACATATACCACACCATCATTGTCATTCGTGGAGCTGAGCCCTTCTTGAGAAGCCGCCAATTGTGCAGCTACTCAAGAAGTTCCCAACATTTTATGGAACCCGAAAGGTCATCACCGTGTTCACAAGAGCCCTCCACTGGTTCCTATCCTGAGCCAGATCGATCCAGTCCATACCATCCCAACCTATCTCCCTAAGATACATTTTAATATTGTCCATTAATTAATTTAATATTAATACAAAAATATTTCTTGGTCTTCCTATTGGTCTCTTTCCTTCTGGCTTTATATGCATTCCTCTTCTCCCCAATTCGGGCTACCTGCACTGCCCATCTCACCTTCCTCGACTTGATCATTCTAATTATACTTGGCGAAGAGTACAAGTTACGAAGTTCCTCATTATGCAGTACATTAATTAAATGGGAGAGTATAGAAGTCGGAAATGAGGCCTGAAGTTGTTGGTTCTTTATAGCATATTTAACAGTGCGTTATCATCTGCTGAAGTTATTCAGCAACGACTAAAATTAATGCTGCAAGGCAATCTTGAAGAGAAAACGGGTGTACCTGGGTCTAACGAAAACCACGGAAAATGTCAGTCACTATGGCCGGTGTTCGAACCGGTTACCTACCGAAGTCACAACGGCTGCCTTTCTACTGACCTTCTCGGTATGAAGTTTGTGATAATGTGAACTAAATTCGGGCCAGTCGCCAACTTCCACGTCTGTGAGTGGCGGATATCACTGGCAGAATGGTTACTGGAAGGCGAAATCGGACATTTCTGAACGCAATACATGCAAACGGTCACTTTGTGCATTTCAACTTTCCCATGGCTGGTTCACAGAACAATCAATGGCAATCTATGAACGGTGGAGGTAAATTAGACCAGATACTGCGAGTGGCAAAACAGTTATGATTAGGGAGGAGGCAAAACCGGCCCGGACGGACATCTGCAGAGAATCCAACAGTTCGCTCCATTCATTATTCACAACATGTACCGGGATAATGAGGAACATACGGGAAGAGACCAGGATTCAGCGTAACAAAAATAAATCGAATTTAAAACTTAACGTCAAACGTCAAATTATAACAATGCTGGATTTTGACACTGAGCCGCGGGTTCGATTCCCGATGAGGTCATCGGATTTTTCAGCTTACTTATTTACTATGGCCCTGGAATCCATTCAGTCTCTGGCAGAAATGAGTACCAGGAATCCTCGTAGGGGTAAAGGGCTGACTTCACCGCCATCAATGGGCCGATTTTCTGGTAAATGCGAGAGCTTCGACGTCTCATAACCCTATGGGCCTCCACGGCCTCTTACAGGGATACCTTTACCGTTTTAACTTAATGGGCTAATATTTCTTTATATACAGGCTTTCTACTGTTTCATTCGCACTATGAAAAAAGTTCTAGATAACGCATAAAAGTAAAGGTAAAATTGTTCCTGCGCTTAATTAGTTAAGCACTACGGCATGAAGGCGAATGGGGGAATGGATTTATAGATCCACATTTTCTTCATCTCGGCGCTAGTCTGTGAGTGGTCAGTTTCAAGCCTCGGCCGCTTTACACCCCGGTAGCCATTGGATAGGAGGCTGGGAGGACCCCAGAGCCGGCCTGGACGAAGTGAAATTCTTGACCTCACCGGGACTCGAACTCCAACCCCTCGGTGGTCCCGCCCGCAGC